CAGTGTCTTCCAAACTGAGGGGTTCATCCTCTTGACAATATTCTGGTGCTAATTAAAGTACTCCCCTGCTATTCCTAAGGTTTTCAGTGAATATATAGTCAGAAGTTGTCCATCTCTCCTTCTTAGTCTGTCTTCATCTGGAAGTTAAACTGAAGCCTGTCTACCATGGGTGACCCTACTGGTATTTAAAGTACTGGTGGCATAGCTTCCAGAATCACAGCAACATGAAAGCCACCACAGTACGTCAAACCGACAGATTGTAGAACTAGACAATATCTGTAGCAAAATCTTAAATTACAGTAAAAATATGACAATGATTATATTCATAAAAATTAACAATAGAAAACGTAGCTATACAATATATAAGGCAATTTCTCATGTATCATTTCACTGAAGGTATATATCAGCTCTCCTGAGATAAAAACGATACATTCTATTATCACAGACTAGAGAACCTGGTTTAAGGAATTATATGACTTGATTATTTCATATCATTACCAAGTATAGATTCTGGACCCATTGATATTTACTTAGTGCAGAGATCAGTCAATAATGCCAGGTTGATGAGCTAAGAATAGATAGCTTAACATCAATTTTTCTATAAGAAACTTCAATACCATTGCTATTAAATTAGAATAAATATACATAGAAAACAACCCAGTAGAATTAAATTGTGATCTTAAAAGCAAAAATAAAAACAAAAACAAAACCCCAGTTAGCACAGAGTAATTCTGACTCATGATGACACAATCTATATGAGAGTATAACTGTGCTCCCTAGAGTTTTCAATGATCACCAAAAGGAGATCACCAGGCCTGCCTTCTTTGAGCTCCTTTAGGGTGCACTCAAACTGCCAACCTTTTGTTTAGTAGCCCAGAGTAGTTATCTATTAGTACAATCCAGGGATTCCAAAAAACACATATTCCTAAAACACAAACTTCTTACCACTTAGACAGTATCTAATGGGCCCTGGTGGTACAGCATTGGATTAAGCACAGGGCTGTTAAAGGGCAGGTTGGTGGTTCAAATCCACTAACCACTTCTAGGGAGAAAGATATGGCAGTATGCTTCCATAAAGGTTTACAGTCTCAGAAACCCTATGGAGCAGTTCTACTTTGTCCCAAAAAGTCATAGCACTGGAATTGACTCAAAGGCAGTGTGGGGTTGGGGTGGGAGGCGGTGGTGTTACAAAGATAGGGTCTTGGTGGAGAATATAACACAGTCAATACACAAAGACAAAGCATAAAGGCAAGACCACAATGTTGTGTTACTAAATAGATATAGTTCATTATGAAAACTTACTTTCTGTTTTCCTGCTGATAATCAATTTATTTTCCAATTCTTCAAGCATACTATGCTCAATTCTGAAGTCATGTGTTTGGTTGTAGAAATGACTGTGTTGATCTTTTTCTAAGTTACTAACTCTTTAGGAAAGGAAACACATAAGTATAAATATATTTTAATTATTTAAAATATGAAGACAATCATAATAATCCCTACTTAATACTTGGACCAATTCATCTAAGGAGTCAAAATACAATTACTTGGATAAATAAGGTAAGGAACCAAAATATTAGTTAGAAAAGAATTAAGTTCAACTACGAATCGGGCTGTGAACTGCAAGGTCAGCAGTTCAAAACTACCAGCAGTTCCACGGGAGAAAGATGAGTCGTTCTGCTCCCGTAAAGATTTACAGCCTCGGAAACCTTATGCAGGGTCGCTATGAGTCGGAGCCGACTCCACGACTCCACGACACTTAACAACAACAACAACAATCACATGTAATTTTAATTTAAAAATAATGTTAATTTAAGAAAACATAATTATAGACTCACTTTGAAAATATGAGATGGCTCCAAAAAGTTCGTGGAAAAATGCTGTTATCTATTCATTCCAATTTTCTCTGAACTTTCGAAGCCCCTTCCTACACTGGTCATTGATTCAACTCAATCTAACTGTGGCCTTAAAATGGCAGTCACTGCTGATGACTGCTCTCAAAAGTAGAGACTAACTTTGTAAACGTAGCCAAAATGCTTAACCTCTCCTGGTGAAAAAAGTCCTCATCACAAAACTGCAAACAACAGTTATCTACTACCACCACTCGTTGTTCACTTTGTTGTACTGTGATGTGCGGCTGTGATGCTGGAAGCTATGCCACGGATCTTCAATGGTGGACAGGTTTCAGCGGAGCTTCCAGATGAAGACATACTAGGAGGAAGAACCAGACCACTTCTGAAGGGTTACCCACTGAAAACCTTATATAACCATAAAATGAGTCCTTCAGGTCGGAAGGCACTCAAAATAGGAATATGAAGGGTTGTCTCATCAAAGTAGAGTTGATCTTAATGACAATGGAGTAAAGCTTTCAGGATCATCATTTGCTAATGCGGCACAGCTCAAAATGAGAAGAAATATGGCAAACGTCCATTAATAATTGGAACATGGAATGTACACAGTATGAATCTAGGAAAATTGGGAGTTGTCCAAAATGAAATGGAATATATAAAGATTTACCTCCTAGGCAATAAATAGTGAGCTAAAATAGACAGGTACTGGCCATTTAAAACTGGACAATCATATGGTTGACTATTCTGGGAATAGCAAATTCAAGAGGAATGGCATCACAATCAGCATCAAAAAGAGCATTTCAAGATCTATTTTGAAGTACAATGCTGCCTACAGTTGTATAATGTCCATATGCCTATAAGGAAGATAAGTTATACCACTGTTATTCAAATTTACACATCATTTACTAAAGCCAGCAATAATGAAATTGAAGACTTCTGCGCTGTGGGTTAATGGGCCAGACTGCAAAGCCGTTTGAACTGCAAGGTCAGCAGTTCAAGCTCATCAGTCACTCTTCGGAAACCCTATACAGGGTCGCTATGGGTTGGAACCCACTTGATGACACTTAACAACAACAACAAACCAACTTTTTAGCCTGAAATTGATCAAACAAGCAATCAAGATGAGTTGTTAATTACTGATGGTTAAAATGTGTAAACTGAAAAATGTAGCTGAACATTGCATGATAGAATTTTGCAAAGCCAATTGCATATACTTTTTTTTCAACAACATAAAGAGTGGTTATTCACATGGACCTTACCAGATGAAATACACAGGAATCAAATTGATGACATCTGTGAGAAGAGATGATGCAGAAGC